AGGTTTCTTGAATGAATAAATGAATGAGCATGTCAATCAATGAATGAACAGTAATATTGAGAAGGGGAAGAAAGCTATTACAGGTCAATGAATGGGGTCCCGGAAGATTCCCCTTGTCTCCCATTGTCTTCTGACACAGGGAGACGACAGCTGGAGCAGAGTACCTAGAGTCTGGGGACTTAAGAGGCCACACATCTTAGAGAGCGTTTCACCATCAACTGCAATTCCTTAGGCAGTCTGAATTATAATATTTACTTCAATGATACATTCTCCAGCTGTTGTAACCACTAGTGACCCTTCTCTGAATCCCTACTTCGCATGTTAGATATTTTTTCACTTGGAGAATTACTATGGTGTTGACTGTTATGCTTCCTTTTTATTTCCCTCTCTAATAATAAAATCCTCCAGGGTTGAGACTGTCATATTCTTGTTTTTGTGTTTACTTCACTGCATATCCTAGAGCTGAGAACATATGGAAGAATGAATCAATTAATAAAGTTAATGAACACATGCTGAGGTTTAAAGAGAAGAATATTAACTGCTTGGTTTGATGACAAAAAGTAACATCACTCTATGTGTCTAGCTCCCAGCCCAGAGGTGCTGGCTCCATCCTCTCATGTGAGGGGCCCACAGCGATGCACAGGCACCTGCAGCCCGTACCTAAACCCTGCAGCTGGCACAGCCCTCTCTGCTCTTCATTCACCGTGCTCAGGAGTTGTAATGACAAGTTCAGCACCCCACGTCACACTGTATCTTCCATCCTGGGGAGTGTTTCACAGCTATCCCAAGCCCCACGCTGACGAGTCAAGACTAAAAACATACTCCGATGCCAGCACAGACCATGGAGCAAGTGTCAGACAACATCAGCCTCTGAAACGTGAGTCCTGAATTGCGATGGAAATGAGCTTCCTCTTACAAGGGCTTTCGGCGGAGGGAGATACGCAGGTGAGCTGCTGGAAAAGGCCCATGGGATGCCCTTCCTCTGGGTGCCTTTTCCATCCCAACCTCTGGGGATTCCTCAAGAATCAGGGAGGTTTGGGACTCTGTCTGCTCCAAGATCACAGGATTCACCCTGGCCTCTGGAAAGAACTGCCCAGTGTACCAGGTTTTTATGAGTTACTTTTAGAGTCGCGAACGCGGGCAGATTTGTGAGAAAGTCAACAGAGGCTATCTCTCCACTGGGGAGAAGGCTCTCGAGCCCCGGAAGGCAATCTCAGGGTGGTCTAGGTGGATGGCACGGGATGGGAACCAACTCTCAATTGCCACGAGGAATCTGAGGAGTTCCAAGATTATGGTTTTTATGTAACTGTCTTACTCCCGTTTCACAGGGACCAAAACTTCAG